TTTGAATATTACATGTTAATAACTTGATTGGAATTATAACCTTGAGTTGACAGTTTGATACTTTGAAAATTTTGAGCCAGCCCTACCCCCAAGGGCTGTAGGGTGGGGCTCAAGGGAGTCAGTGTGCTAAAATTTCTTCATTTTCCTTGTTTAGAATCAGAGGTGCTAGTTTCAAATCCTTTTTAGTCTGAAATCTGTATGCTTGATATTGAATAAGGTGGTTTTATTGTTTTTTGTCACTTTGAATAATATTTCTGTTCATGTTAAAAACAAAAATCAACTCTCTGTATAAATATATCAGGTGACCGTTAAGGCCCATGGGCCTCTTGTTTCATATTTTTTTCTCATTTACTCCAAAAAAGTTTTGTTTTTTTGTAATAGAAAATTGATGTAATATTTTTTACATGTATTTTATAGTGTCCCAATAATGAGAACAAAGTAAAAACATTTTTAACAAATTACCATTTAATGGATTAAATCAAGCTTTTATCTGGATTTTAAATCGATCATCCGTTAATCATTGACTAGTTGAAGTTTTTGGATTTTTTTCAACTATTAATTAGTTTAAGGCAAAACATGGATTTGACATCAATTCTGAGGAGGTTATTATTAATTTTCTTAATGTTGATAGTGGACAGTTTCCAGATTTCTTAATTTGATCAGTTCATTATCAGACATCAATTTCCTAATGCTGGTCTGTTGACCTCCAGAATTTAATCAGTGTTGTCCATCGCTCAGCATTTGAGCACTTGCCCTACTCCACAAGTCAGTTATTACCCATTTATCTATTTTCCGAAGTCTCTTCTTAAATATATTTCAAAGGTGGAAAATTTAATTTTTGTTCAAAGTGGTCCTTTGAAATCGCCTTTGTTATATTAAACTGAAAATTGTTTTGTCTCTTTATTGCCAAATGTTAGAATTTCTTTAGAAAAAATATTGTTTGGTGATTGTTGTTGTGGACATTTTCTGATCTTTCTTTGAATTTTGTTTTGTTTTCAGTTTGATGAGGAAGGAGAGGAAGAGGTAATTGACTTATTACGATTCCAACTATAAAATTACCTAGTAATTAAAATGAAACAATCAAAAAGCTTTCGAAAAAAACGTTTCTTATGTACAAAACTGGAAGAAATTCATTCATAAATATTTCTTTTTTAATAGCATTCAAGTTACAATTTGGTCAAAGTCTTGACATCTTTCATTAACTGTTTATAATTTGTGCATGTTATATGGATCTTGCAAAAGTAAAATTTTCAAATATAATTTTCATTCTACATTTTGATACAAGTTCAATAATTAAAACTTTATCACATGTTCATAAGATCTAGCCTGAACATGTAACTCAAAATGCAAGAAAATGCGTACCTCTCCTGGCTATTATTTACTGGCATTCTCTTTCCTTAATGCCTTTTTTGTTTGCATGGCTCTTATCATGGTAGTATTCCCTTGCCTTAATGTTGTCAGTGATGCTGATAGGCAATTAATATACAAAAGTGGTTGGATGGTGGTACAATGTATTCTGAAATCTTTTCAATAATTAAGTGATCAATGGTTTTATATTTGAGGGAGGAGCTTAAGGGGTATACAAGCATTAATGAGGAAATTAGAAATTGCCTGGTAAAGTTTGATGCTGAGTGTTAAAGTTTAGACATATTTCCATATTTCCTACTTTGTATCATGGGAAGGTGTAGTTCTCTGAGCATAACAAAGTTATTTTGACTTGGAAAAAGAATTCCAATACTGTAGTATGGCGTTGCACATATCTTTGTGTGCATTGCTGTGTATGTTCATGTAACTTTCAGTGAAAACTAGTCTTTCATATTCATGTAAAATTTGTTGTAAAAAAAAGGAATAAACTTCAATCCTCAAATTCCTGTAGGAAAGCAGTGTTAAAACTTGTATACTTAAATTCGTGTGTGAAAGCAGTGTTAAAAGCTTCTCCTGCATGCTAGTGACTGACTGCCATTTGTCTCTGTAGGATGGAGAGGAGGGAGATTATGATGAGGACGCAGACCCTGATTATAACCCACAGGTAAATTGATGTGACCTCTCTTGTGTCATATGCACATGCTTCCGTGCATGTGCATAACATACACACAGGTAAATTAATATACCTACTATGGCACTCGATGGTTGTTCTCCGCATGGTGAATGGTGTTTGTGATGTAGACGGAACCTCGCAGGTTGGTAATATCCGATGTTATATGGACTGGTTCGCAAAAAAATCTTTTAAACGATCATTTTTTCTCTCAAACACAAACACTTGTTGTTAAGTAGTGTTATTATTATTTAGCTGTGTTTTCAAAAGCCCTTCACTTTACTTTGATCAGTTTGTAGAAGGATCTTCCACATGAAAATTGTGATTAATTTACATCGAGACACAGGTGATATAGAGGATGCAAAATGTGTGCGAGATACTGATATTTGATAATTCATGCAAATACAAAGTGGTCATTAAGATCAAGGTATTACATGTATATTTTTTATCTGTATGCTGTCGTTAGGTTATCTGATTTTTTTCTTCGCTACTCGCATCATGTTTGTTTAAATTAATAAATAAACAAGTCACCATGGCCCTAAATGACCACAGTTGTCGATGGGCCGTTAAACCCAAACAAACAAACACACATGCAAGAAAGGATGTAGAAGTGCAGTGAATTGAATGAGATGTCCTCTTTAGTGTTTCATATTAACTAGTCTGTTGTACAGATATCTGTTAAACTTTTCATCAGTATTTATACATAAGAGTAATTAGAAAAAGATGTATATACATATCATGATTTACAATTGATGTCTATAACTATATAGCCCCATATAGCATACACGGAAATTGCTCTTGTATTATCACCTCAACTTAAGGTCATTACTTGCTCCTTTTGAAGTAAAGTCCTTGTCTGTAGAGTAATTTAGGGGGGAGGGGGATATCAGTGTTAGCTCCCACTCACATGCATCAATAATCCATCACTGATTGAAACAAACACACATATCTACAGTAATGTTACTGTTTTAGTAGACTGAAAAGACTGCTCTAATTATTTCAATACAATTTACATTCAATCTGAAATTTTGCACTGTATGGCAAATGTATTGGAACGAGCACTATTACCAACCTCTTGAGAATTGGTCTACATCAGCGGGTATCCTCAATCTTGTTGTGTTATATATTCTGCATGGGGAGAGCTTAGGCTGGCACCGTTGTTGATATTGTGTATGATGTAGATGTATGTACCCTGCACAGATCTTGAACAGCCCATCAATATGTAGTGTGCTCCTGGTGTGTGGTTTAAAATGTGTTCAATGTACATTGGACATTACATTTAAGAGTGAGAAACATCAGACACCCTAACAAGTAACTTTTTCAGCTTTTGAAAACAAAATTCATCTGTTAGTTGATCACAATTTCTGCACCATTCGCATGCTTCTAATATTTATTTAAGAGTTATCTTCTATATTCTATATTGTTCATTGGGTTTGGTAAGCTGATCTATTTCACAAACAACTATGCTTCGCTTGCACACAATTGCGGTCCAGGTGAGCTTTGCAGGCCCTGTGGGGCCTCTTGTTAATGTTATGTGAACAGTATATTTCAAAGTGTTTTTGTTTTTTTGTTTTTTTGTAAATCTCTGAAAAGCATAGCAATGAAGTAGGGGAGCATTCTGTTTTGGTGTTTGCTTGATATCTTTACACTATCAGATATATACAGATTTATTTTAAATCTTGAAGCACATTGATTTAAAACCTTGTTTCAGCGCCCTCAGTGGGAGTGTGATATACACAGGACTCACTCTGTGTCTCCAGACAGCTGGAGAAAGCAGTGTTCATTTGCATTTTCGGTTTGTTTCAACTCATCCCATGAACTTTTGATTTTTGTATCGTCCCAACCACCTATAAAAAACTGAATGTCTGTCCCACTCTGTTGATTTCAAAACCTCAAGTATTATACAGTGTATTGAGATAAAGCACAAGTTTTAAAACCTGGTGAACAATATACAGGAGAACACTAATCAATATCACAGTAGATTTGAAAGTTAAATGATGAGGAAATGGGATTAATGATAGGTTTTATTATAGCCCACAAAACTTTTCCAATAAAATATGAAAAGGGTTTTAATAGGTTTAACTTAGTCCTGTTGACCGATTGTAGGTTATCATTTAAATGGGATGAGATGGAAGGAATTTTAAAGATCTAATTTTGAATACATATTGTTGATAAATATTTTCAGGGAAGGATCATGGTTTAGTTAAATATTTAGATAAAACAGGATATAATGAGATGCTCTATTTATAAAGATGATACTTGAGACTTTGAAATGAAGCATCCATGTTTATAATCCTGATATTCCTTTAAAAAGTGTAATTTTTTGTAGAAAAAATGTTTTAACTCGTTTTTATTACTTGCGTATAGACCAACCTTTAAAATAAGGAGTTGTCTCCCCTGACCCACATTTAATCTTAATTTCTTTTCAGTTCTAATTGTCATTTATTGAATGTTTTTCCATGTAACTTTTAATGTTCAAATAATTGACACTGCACTTTGCACATACATGTTTATACACTGAGCTGTGTGTTTGTGTGCAGTGTTCACTTAAGTAAAAACTTGGCACTAAAATAACCAAATAACATCAATATAATTTTGATATTCCATGATTTGTTTAAGATAGAATAGCAGTTCATTGTCACTGTTATGTTCCTTGAAACTAGTTGTGCCATTGTATTTCCTACAATAGTCAACTTACAACGGAAAGGCAATGAGTTTTAATTATACATTTAAAAAGGTAGAAGGGCACCGACTTTTAGTTGTGCAAGTATGGGCACTGACATTCAGGGCACAAGTTTGGGGAAAATAAAAACCTGTACAAATATAATAAAGCCATAAACAAAGAACAAGCATTTAATGGTTTACTTTACGTATGAAAAACATTGAGCTAGACTAAAATTTATGTTCTCTTGATTTGAAAGTGACACGGAACCTTCCTAATGTTGAATGTTAACATGACACTGGAACTTCCTGATCATACGTGAAAAGACAAAGTTTTACTGGATTCATACAAAAGAAATGATTCAATAAGTAATTAAAAGGATGATGGGGGTCCCTGAAATAATATAAGTGCAGAATTGATGATTGAATATTTGATGTGATTTAATTTGGTGCACTGAACACAACATTTCACAATGATGGCTGTAGGTCTTCTTATCCTTCTGCTTGTCATGTTGATGTCAGGTTTTTTGTCTCCCTGAAGGCCATCAGATCTGTTGGGGGTTGGTAGAGTGCAGTGCTAGGGTTTTCTTGTCGAACAGCTTTGACAGTTGTTCATCGATGCGTAACAGTGCGGTTGATGTGACCCGGCTCTCTGTCATGCCACAGTTAATGAGTACTACCGCCTCCTTTAACAATACCTGCATGAATTTGTCCATTCATTGTGTGCAGTCACCTTGTAATTGTCAACACCAGATTTGTATTGTGTGAATGATGAGATTTCAGATTTGTACAACTGAGTGAATGTGTAAAATGCATGCAACATTAAGTTGATTTAATATTAATTTGTATGCTATTAATTATAGGATTGAATTTAAAAAAAAAAAAGGACTTGGTTTTTAATGGTGTAATTGAAGATCTATATATGTGAGACTTGGTCAGCATACATAACATGTCGCAGTTCTTTTAATTTTGTGAAGCCAGATAACCATGAATAAACAGAAATATTACATCATTCTTTAAACCTGCCATGTCATTTTCTTTTTATAGGTGTTGATAAAAGGCTTCTCAAGTAACCTCATCTCTGTTTCTTTGCAGGCTGATTCTCAAAAACCAGAAGAGTGCAAACAACAGTGATTTATAACAGTGCAAAACAGAAATAAACAAAACACTCCAGGATTCTTCAGATGAATTTTCTGAAAGTACTGAGAGAAAAAAACTAAACAATTTATACAAACAGTTATGTGAAAGAAAAAACTCTTCTGTGATGCAAGATTGCGCTAGTTTTGAAGAACTGTTAATGACCTTTGCTAGTACTGAATGACCTTCACCTGTGTTGAACTTGACCTTGGCTGATTTTTTTGGTGTGTTGTGGCTGGCGTATCAGCCGTCTGTGCTGTCATGAACTGCTCCTCTATGACCCACCTTGCCTCACATATTAGCCTGTACATGTCTCCCCAGAACGGTTTATTCTGTGTTTATTTAATTTTTGCATATCTTGTCTCTACCACTTTATTTTTCCCAATGACGGTAAAATTATTGTATGTATTTCATTATCTTTTTGTTGTTTCTATAAGTTGTGAACACAGAGTAGCTAACACTTTTTGAAGGGATTAATTAGAAGTAACTTTCTGTGAAGGTAAAGACAAGAATAAAAACACTTGTAAGTCGTCCGTGATTGTGTGAAAATTACAAAATTGTTTATCAACTTCCTGATATAAATGTGATATGATATTTCAATATATTTCGTTGAAATAGCTGCAAAAAATATATATGTCGGGACTGGAGGTAATGACGACTTAAAAATATACAAATAAAATGTTGGTGTATAGATCTTATCAAATCATGTATTTTCTTACATAACTCATTCAAATCAGGTGAGATGACAAATCTACCTATGTAGTTATTGTGCGTAAGACATTATGATTATTTTAGTGAAGATTTTGCTGTATTGTTGGATATAGTCATATGAAGTTGTCCCCAGTTCTTTGTAACTGTGTTACAGCTAAGTATTATGGAATGGAAGGTTAAGTACACACACTTCTTAACTCCTTCACCCCTGAAGACACATTTGAACACTCCAAATTCAAAGGTTGGAATAGTTCATTATGAAACTTCAGGGTTGAAGGAGTTAATAGCTGTTTTTATACATATTAAGAAGAATTGGATCTCGTGTGCTTAAATTAAATGTTCTTATTTGAAAAACAAATCATTTTACTCCTGTTATTGTAGCATGCCCAGTACTACTGAAGTATCTAGGGTTATTCAAAAATAAATTGTACAGCAAGGGTTCACAGTTATTCAGAGACTCCATCAACTGAAAAAATACAAGGGCTATGTTTTGAAATATTTATGTATATAATTTACTGTCGGATTTTAAGATGAGTATGCATTTATCCTTAACATTTTTTGATCCTCTGGCAAAAATTTGCCTGGATCCTGTAAATTTCGAAACAACACAATTCCTTTCCCTGCTATACAATAAATTCTGGAATAGCCCTCTACTTGATAATTATTGCTCCTTTGTTCTTTTGTTCCGATAGTGTACGCAGTATGTAGGCATACACTGATGTGCTTGTTTGATATAAAACATTGATCATGTTCAAAAGGGTCTTTGACACTACATCATTCATGCATTGATTTTTTTTTTATATGTATATATAAATGGCGATTTTACTTTCTTCAAAATTTCAAGCTTTTTTGAAAATCAAGTATTAGAAAATTTAATGTGTTTAATTCCGAGGAAATCACATGTAAAAATGGCCCACAGCCATTACTTGCCTTACTGTCGGTCATTAAATCTCCAACTTCAGCTGTCATCTTTCCTCTAATCTTTCCCGTGAATAGATTTATATTTATGACCACAATACATTTGCTTTTAACGGATATCTGCATGAATGTTGTACAGTAAAAACAAGAGGAACATCACATCGTTGTCTCCTTTTAGAATATTTAGAATATTTATGCAAGATTTCCGCTTTAATATGTCTTCAAATTTTAATTCCCTTGAAACAAAATGATAACGAAACGAAAAATTGTATTTGTCAGGGGGGTTTCATTCTTAGTTGGTGATTTGCTCAGTCTATTCATACACACACTTTAAGTAAATGCAGATTTCTACAATATATTCTGTTTCACCAAGAGATGTTTAATTAGTCGGTACTCTCCCGTTTGGTTGTTAAGCTGGCATTTCGAAAATTTAGTACATCGTGCATGTTGTTAAATTATGATTTCTCTGTTCTGACTGCTATTGTTTTCCATCCGAAATTTTGATTTCAGTTTATTAGTAGTAATAAAATGAATGAACTCGTGAAATTTTAGTGGTATCAGTTCTGCTATGAAATCTAAAAAAAAAAAAAAAAAAAAATTGTTACAGCTTTGTTCAGTGAGGTACATGTTTTTTTTGTGATATTTTAAGTGGTAAAATATATTTGATGTTTGTTGATGGAAACTGTAAAAGACAAAATTGCACACAAGTGATTGGGACCAGCAGACTTTGTACACTGATCAGAATTTTAAAGAGAATGAAGACTTGCAAACAATAGACATCCAATGTATGTGGTGTTTAATTACTGATTCAAATGTACACTAGATGATTGAAAGCTTGGTGCATCCTAATACAATAAGGGCTGTTCCAGAATTACCTGGAGGGGAGGGGTGGGAGACCCCCTTTTTTGAACCCCCACCAACAAAAAAACATTTGTGATTTACTAGAAGGAATCGGATCCTGCTTTAACACAACCAATCTTAATGTATTGATACAGGTGCCCCCCAACTCCCCCTTAGGATAAATTATGGAATAGCCCCTATGGTATTAGAAAATAACTGTACCCTGTCTGGAAGCTTTACAAGTAAGGCATGGTATGTTTTCATCAGTACCCGTCCCGGTTTTTGCAGTAGCTGTTTAACCGTTTTTGAGCTCATTATTTATAAAGTCTAAGACAGTATTGATTAGATATGGATACAAAGGGCATTTGTTTGCATAATGATATTGCTTATTAAACATTACAAAACAATTTATGTGATTGAGGAAATTGTACTATATTAAAAGCACATTGACATTGTCATGGGAATAATTTTTGCATCATAAAGTTCCTTACTTATCATATAATCATCTTGTTAACCTTATTCAGATCTATCTGGAGATTTACTGCACAGTCTTGTGTGTTTTGTCTTCAACTGCAGAAATCCTATTTCTTAATGTAATTTTAGCAAAGAATTTCAAATAATTTGTAAATATACTTCAGTTGAATAACACAGTCCAGGTACAACCGTCTGGCCAGGTTGATCATGTAAAACTTTACTGTATTTTACCTCTGCTATGCTCTCCACAGTACAGGTAGTTTCAGAGATATTTTGTTTTACCTCAATATTCCGCTTCCAGTACTGATGAATTTAAAAATGGGGGAGAGGGGGATTTGTTACTGTTGAACATATCGTAAATAAACACAGCTTGGAGTAAAAACATGCGTCTTGCAGTCTTAAGATATGTTGCTAGCCGAGTTTGATGTGGCAAGACGTTTTCGATGCATATTGTTGACTTTTCCTACCATATTTTACTGGAGGAGATCCAGTATTTGATCTAGCAATTAGATACTAAGATAGGTGTAGAACAAGAGCTCAAACAACAAAATAGTTCTGAAATAAAATTTAAAAAAATGTTTTCATGTGGTAATTGTAAACAAAAGAATGACAGTGTGTTGACCAGATGTCTTAAATCTGGAAAAAAGGAGAAATGGGAATTCAGATTATCTTCATGGAGAGAGAATAATGAGAACAAAGCTGATAAAAAAGGATTTCTGATTATTGTTGTAGTATTAATAGGTAGGCACACTATTTGGTGACTTCCTTGTTTTATAGTCAAATTATTACCTAGTTGCCATTTTCCCACTAATCACTGTTTACGTGTCTCATACATGCATACATTTATACATCATCACTCTTCACAGCTGAAGTGGGATTGACAGAAGCTACGGCTTTTGTCAATTCCAATGTACTATCAAGCTTTTGGGGATAAGTGTGCAGAATCTTTGGAAGTGAAGAGTAGGTTAGCAGTTAAGAACATTTAAAAGTGATTTTTTAAATTTATCTCCCCAAGTTACAATGATGTGTGATAAGACACTTGTACTTTCTGTAAATATACAAATGTAATGTATTCGGTTTTTTCGTTTCATCATTTTCATTCAGCATTTTTTTTATATATATAATATATAACACATCAACTGATCTGATCATCAGGGAATATCATTTGTAACAATGAAAGCCTCCAATCTTAACAATTAATGAATGTGTGTTCTAGTGACAGTGACCTATAGTAATAGTCCTGCAGAGTTCTGTGTCTAAATTTCAGTATACATGACTGACAGGTAGCTTTGAGCGATATATTATATATATTTACAAAACTCACAAATTTTATTATTTTGAAATTTTTTGAAGATTCTTTTTTTAATATTTTGAATTAATATAGGACAATTGGAAATGTTAGGTGTCTGGACAAAACCCAATATAATTCTGAGAAGCTGACCTCTGACTTCGGTGGCCAAGTGGTTAAGGCGTCCGACATTCTGCTACCACTAGCCTTCCACCATTGGGTCTCAGGTTCGAGGCCTACGTGGGGCAGTCGCCAGGTACTGACCACAGGTCGGTGTTTTTTCTCCGTTTACTCCGGCTTTCCTCCACCACCAAAACCTGGCACGTCCTGAAATGACCATAGCTGTTAACAGGACGTACAACACATACAAACAAACAAACCTCTGACTTGGTTCCACAGTATATTATTCCATGTTAAATGGAACCAGGTATTCATTTAAAGGTAAACATTTTCTTTTCTCTAAATTTTGTGTTAATTGGAACCAGGTCATCGTTAGCAATATATAAACAAAAACTTTATTCTGAACCTATTGGTCTCTGACAACAGTGTTTGATTGGGACAGTTGTCACTGGAAATACTGATAATGAGGACAGGCTACACAGCTTATGGTTGGCAGTCAGAGAGCTATATTATCTATAAAGTGTTGCTGATAAGCAAAAGTCAATGAAATGCTTGTTTTAAATCAGTGTTCAAATATAGCATGTTATCTACACTGAAATCTTGTTGTGTTGCTTAGTAATGTGCATCTGGCAGTTATCAGTTTGATGATGACAGGTTACAATGTGTACAACTATTTAATATTTTGAAAATCAAATCAAATGAGTTGTTTATTAATTTGATATTTGGGGTAGGATGTTTTCTGGGTACAATGTTGTGAATTGTATCACTTAAGGTTTCTGGCCATTATTACATTAAAATATCAAAACACTCAACTGATTAGTTGTTTTTTTCGTCACAACCAAGAAAATTACAATTTTGTTCATTGTTTGCATGTGGTCTCGCCCAATGCAGTATAGGAGAAAGAATGGAGAATTATACCACTTCTGGATAGTGTGAATGATACTTCATCACAAGACATAATGTTACGTCAACATTAGATAGTGTGAATAATTACTTCACTACAAGACGGCGTACCATGTTACGTCATCGCTTGACGGTGTTAATATTGTTCCGACTCGTGCATGTTGCGTTACCATTAGATAGTGTGAATCATTGTGTAACCACTAGGCCATGTGAATAATTACGTCGCTACGAGACGGCGAACCGTGTTACGTCGCCGCTTGACGGTGTTAATATTGTTAAGACTCTTGCATGTTACGTTGACAGTGTTAATATTGTTACGTCATCACAAGACATCGTGAATCATAACATAATCACTAGACGGTGAATCCTTTTACGTCGTCAGATAATGTGAATCATGTTTATGTCACCAGTGGACTCGGAACCATGTTGCGTCATCACTTGACAGTGTGAATCGTGTTATGTCACCAGTGGACTCGGCCCAGTATGGTTATGATATTGATTGGACAGTTTTCTCATTTAACTCAAGATAGTGACATTTACCAAATAAGCCATGTTACGTCATCACTAGACTGTGAATCATGTTAGGTCATCACTAGACTGAATCATGTTACGCCATCACTAGACTGAATCATGTTACGTCATCACTAGACTGTGAATCATGTTACGTCATCACTAGACTGAATCATGGTACGTCATCACTAGACTGAATCATGTTACGTCATCATTAGACTGAAGTATGGTTATGATATTGATTGGACAGTTTTCTCATTTAACTCAAGATAACATTTACCAAATTAGCCATGTTACGTCATCACTAGACTGTGAATCATGTTACGTCATCACTTGACTGAATCATGGTACGTCGTCACTAGAATGAATCATGTCACTACATCACTAGACTGAATCATGTTATGTCATCACTAGACTGAATCGTGGTACGTCATCACTAGACTGAATCATGGTACGTCATCACTAGAATGAATCATGTTACTACATCACTAGACTGAATCATGTTACACCATCACTAGACTGAATCATGTTACGTCATCACTAGACTGAATCATG